TCAAAATGATACCGAGCCGTCGTGCTGGTGCTGTAATTTCGGTGAGGTGCCAAGCTATTTATCTGACGAGGCAATTAAGAAGCCAAGCCGTCATGGAGTAACAATGACGAGGTGCTCTCAGAGGATGCCAAATCGGTGTTGCCTTTTCAAAAAGGATGTCGAGCTGTATCATTAACGCTGAGCCGTGTTTTGACGCAACAACGAGACGATTTTACTCGAGAACGCCGAGCCATGTTTTAAGATAACGACGAGGCGATGATGCTCGATAACGCCGAGACGTGTTTTAAGGTAACGACGAGGCAATGATGCGAGACACGGTCCATACTACCTGATGAGATATTCCGAAACAGATGATCGTATCGGACCAATTTGTTGAAGGTGAGGCGATTCTGATAAAGGACAAAGACGAACTTTCCCAATATATTTTAAGATGACGAGGCGTTTTTTGTGAAAGCTATGCCGAGCCAAATAAACGACGAGGCGTTTTGTGAAAGCTATGCCGAGCCGAATAAACGACAAGGCGTTTTGTGAAAACTATGCCGAGCCGAATAAAGGACGAGGCGTTTTGTGAAAACTATGCCGATCCGAATAAACGACGAGGCATTTTGTGAAAGCTATGCCGAGCCGAATAAACGACGAGGCGTTTTGTGAAAGCTATGCCGAGCCGAATAAACGACGAGGCGTTTTGTGAAAACTATGCCGAGCCGAATAAACGACGAGATATTTTGTGAAAACTATGCCGAGCCGAATAAATGACGAGGCGTTTTGTGAAAGCTATGCCGAGCCGAATAAATGACGAGACGTTTTGTGAAAACTATGCCGAACCGAATAAACGACGAGGCGTTTTGTGAAAACTATGCTGAGCCGAATAAACGACGAGACATTTTGTGAAAGCTATGCCGCGGCATTAACGAAAGACTCAAACTTACCGACCGTTGGTTTTCCGAAAGAAGATTCTCAGGTACTGGCGCGTGCAACAAACACGTCCAGAGTTTTTTCATATGCCGCGGACTCCACGCACCGTTATCTTGGTGGCTTCCCGAGGTTCACGCGGAACTCAAGCGCCTCGGCTTGTTCTATAAGAGGATGAATCCCCTTCTCCTATCCTCATAACTTCAGATCTTCGATTTCACTAAAGGTAGCTCTCCCTTCTCTCTTCTTTCTCTCTCTCTAGTTTATTTATTTTCCGGCTAGGGTTCCGAGGCCTCCGCCGTTTCAGATCTTTTTCCGACGAAAATTCGCCGCGTAGTATTTTAATTTCTGTACGAGCTGTAAATCATGTCGAACCGCTCCGACGATTCGCTAGACCCCCTTTTCCACTACGAGCCGAGCTGTGTAGATGCTGAGATGAGAGGCGTGACAGGATCCTCTGAGGCGTCTGTCTCACCGAGCCCTTCCAATCACTCATCTGAAAGCGACGAGGCGTCGAATCACTCGAATCCCTCGGGTGCTCGTTCTCCAAATAACGAGCCGTCGGTTTCAACAAGCTGCTCTAGGTACTGCCTGTAATGAAGACGTTGATTACGCCGCGGTAAAAGCCGAGGAAGAAGCGTTTCCTTTTGATCCGGTCGAGGCGAGACTTGAATTAGAACGTCTCATGGCATCCCGAGGTGTTTCTTTTTCTGGGAAAAGGAATCACAAGCGAGGGAAAAGACAAAGGCCAGACCGGAGGTGTTGCGACACCGCTTTGGAATATCCGAGGCGGTAGAATTCGTCATTCCGGAGAAGAGTGACTGAGCTGACAAGCGTCGTGAGAATCACTTTACCCAGTACAAGGCATTTTTCGAGCTCTGTTTTCTTTGGTTCCCGATCCCTGGAGTTATCCTCGAGTACCTGTGGAAGCACGAGATCTCAATTGGGCAGATCTTACCGAGAGGCTTGCGGCATATGATTGGCATCCTAGTTCGGGGCTTTGAGTGCGGACTCGACATTGAACTGGGTCATCTGCTCAACTTGTTGGAGATCAGAAGGGCTCCAAAAGAAGGTATATTTTATATCTCCAACAAGTCCAATCGCCGGATTATAAGCGGTTTCCCAAGCAAAGATCAGTTTTGGACCGAGCGCTTCTTCTATGTCTTGGTGAACGAGGCTTCGGTGGGCGAGGACTTCGCCCGAAAAACCAAGACCACTTGAAGACCACTTGGTAGCCGATCCGAAGCTTTGCCTCGGCTCAGAGCTGTTATGGTGCGATTTTCTCTTACTAACCTGGTTGTTTTTGTGTTGGTTTTGCAGTTCGAAGCATTCTTCCTTCCGTTCGTTGTCGACCTCTTCATTGTTCGATATACCCTTGCGGCTCGGAGATTCAATTGGAGGAAGCACTTCACGTTTGAGAGAGTGGAAAGAGCGCGAGCCATTTTCGCCGGAGTATCTGTTAGCTCTTCTTCTTCGAATTCTTCAAAGGATACAAGAGAAAAGATGGTGATCATCACTCTTAGAGACAGAAAGAGGCGTGAAGCCAAAGAGGCTGCCAAACAAGCCGCCTAGGCGACTCAAACCGAGGCCGAGGCTGTTTCTCGAGACGATCCATGAAGGGGAAGGCGCGATCCGAGCTGCGGAGGAAAATGTCACCGAGGCGATTGAGAAGGAGGCGGCGCCCGAGGTGGGACCGGGTGAGATCATCCCCGAGGCGCCCAGAGAGGATTTTGCGGCTCAGAGCAAGACGCCGTCCAACTCGGCTATTTTGGCCCTCCCGAAGTCGTCAAGGCCCCCGGCTTCGCATCTACAGAAGCATGACGCTGGTAAAAAATGATCAGCTACTGAGAAAGGGAAAGGGGTGGTCGTTCAGAAAGACGAGCCGCCCAAGAAGAAATGCAAGCCGGCGTCCAGTGATCCCGCATCGCACAAGCTGGTCGTTGACGACCCGGATGCCTTGGCGGTGATGTTTTTGCGTGTTAATAACGCCAACACGCGTCTTCCTCCTCCCGAGCAGCTGAGGAGACCGAGATCCTACGGCGCGATGGCACATTGTGGCACCAAGTGTTTAACACATATTTTCCTTTGCAGTTTGTAGCGGCTATCAACGAGCTAATGGCTGAGTACGAGTCGGATTTGTCTAAGGTCGAACGTCATCTGGAAGAGGCCCGGAGTGAGACTGCGACTGTGTTTAAAATAGCTCATGGCGCACCATGGCGACGAACCTTGAGCCATGCGCCTTGTGCCATTCCGGTCTATGGCGCGCGCCTTTGTGTGCAGCTTGTTTAATCCCTGAAAATTTAGTAACCCGTGTATACTACAACTTAAACACAATCAAATCCCTGAATTCTGAGTAACAAGTTAACAACTGATTAAAACCAGATCACTAAAACACAACCAAATCACTCCAGAATTTCCAAAACAAGAAAAGAACAAATCCAGTCTTCATAAAACATAAATTCAAAACAATAAAATGAAATGAAATCATTGTTCTTCTGGTTTTTAGTAATCATCATCTTCATCAGCCAATGGCAAGCCGCTTGTTATTGGTTGTCTTTCTTTTTGTTCATGAACAACATCAATTCTGTTATAACATAATCTGGAGCATCTAGACATGTTGTAGTATTCCTAAAACCCCCAATCAAGTGCTGCTTCAAAGGAGTAAGTCCTCCATAAGTGACCTTGGAGCAGAAACTACACTTCCAAGCTTTGTTTTTCTTCTCAGCAAGAGTCCCATACTTAATGACTGGATCATCTTTAGTATCAGTCATAATACCTTGATCATTATTAGAACAGAATTAAGTGAATAGAAGAGAGATTACAGAAATAAAACAGAGATGAAAGAAAACAGACCTGGAGTGAGAGACTAAACAATAAAGACGCAGAGAGTAGATTACGGCAGAGGTTTAATGTGGCTGAATGAGTAAACTAGGTTTAACTACTTCATTAAAAGTTAAATTAAATGACTTATTTACCCATCTGAGAAGATAACAAAGTTTTAATTAAAACGTGAATCCATGAAACAAAACCACAAAACGTGAATAAAAAACCACAACAACAGAATCCATGAAACACTAGAACAGAATCCATGAAACAAAACATGAATAAAAAAACCACAAAGCAATGCAATTCTTCAAAAAACAGTAATAGAAAGCACGAAAATGAAATCGAAGCAACTAGTAAGAGGCATCAGAGCCATGATCCTCTTCAGTTCCAATCAAGTTCTCATTTGACTCATAACCAAGAGCATCATCATCTTCTTCTGCCTCTTCTTCCACCTCATCAAGCTCAACAACCTCTTCAACATTTTCTTCACCTTCAAAATCATCTTCATCCACCAAGGTCCAACAGCTCGATGCTCTAACTCTACGACGAGGTGCGATTCTGTTGACACGAACTGATCCAGCAATTCCTTTTCCTTTGTCTGCTGAATCTGCTAAACATGAACGAAAACGTAAATACAGAGTGGCAAATGAAATGAAATCAACACAAATAGGATTAAGAATCGAACTTGTTGCTTTTCTAGTGACATAGCTTGGTTCTTCCACACCCAGGCTAACGTCCTTCCCAATGTTTTTAAAACCGGACTGGACCGGCGGTTCGACCAGATTAAACCGTGAACCGGATGCATAACCGGGTTGGGTGAGTATCAAAATCCACAGAAGATTAAACCGGCTAAAAAACCGGATTGAACCGCCAAAAAACCGGAAACCGGCCAAACCGTTAAACCATATCAAACCGGGTTGAATTGAAAAACAGAAAAAGCTTAATTAAATTGTTATTTTTTTCTCTTTTTTTAGTGTTTATATCGTTTAGACTTGTACTTGTTTAATAAAACCCTAACTCTTTCACAGTTGTATCGTGCTTCTTTTGTTTTTTTCGTTTCTAAATCTCTCTGCAACTCACCACCACCTTACATCAATTCAAAGTCAAAGTTAGGTGTGTCCAACTTTCGATTAAAATTTGTTGTTGAGTTTAGTTGGTTTTAGAATTTCTGTATCTATTATATAAAGTATAGACTAACACTTGACGTGATCAATTTTTTAACTGCTTTGTTTTTGTTTGGTTTTTATTTTGTTTGTAGTGTAATGGAAGAGAATGATTCAGATGCGACACTTCCATCAGATACATACACAAAATCTCAATTACCTTCACAACGTTCTGTTCGTCAGAAACACGATTTGGCTTGGGCACATGTCACTCAAACTTTAGATTCAGAAGGAAAAAGTATTCTTACTTGTGATTTTTGTGGTCAGAAAAACAAGGGAGTTGGAATAAACAGAATGAAACAACATTTAGCTGGACAGAAAGGAAATACCAATGGATGCAAAAAAGTTCCTCCAGAAATTCAATACGCCATGAGAAAATCACTGAAAGAAAACGAGGATAAAGCGAAAGAGAAAAGTGGGATTAATATTAGGAGACAATTTCATGATGTAGATGATGGTCAAGGCTCTCATCAAGGTTGTGTGCCGAGTCAGAAAAGAAAGGTTAGTATCGATATAAACTCATACTTTAAAAGGGGTTTAGAAGATCAGGTGCAACCTACCATAAAATCATGTCTACAAAGCAAGGAAAAAATTCATGATGCTGATATGGCAGTTGCTTTGTTTTTCTATGACGTGTGTATGCCCCTGAATGCAGTGAATTCTAGGTTTTATCAACCTATGATTAGCAAAATTGCAAGCATGGGTCATGGTTACATTGGACCTTCATATCATGCTTTACGTGTTGGTTTATTACGTGATCTAAACTCCAAGTTTCTTTAATTATTAACTCTTTTAAGAGTACATGGGCTGATACTGGTTGTACTTTGATGGCTGATGGATGGAAAGATACAAGGCAAAGACCATTAATCAATTTTCTGGTTTACTGTCCTAAAGGGATAATTTTCATCAAATCAGTTGATGCTTCTGGAATATATACAAATGCAGAGAATTTGTGTAATCTATTTGCTGAGATTGTGGAGATGATTGGCCCCCAAAACGTGGTCCATATGGTGACAGATAATGCCCCTAACTACAAAGCTGCTGGTGCTAAGCTTGTAGAAAGATATCCTGCTATATATTGGTCCCCTTGTGCATCCCACTGTATTATTTTGAAATTTCAAGATGTGGGACAACTACCTCACGTGGAGAAGCTAACCAGTTATGCATCAAAGATAACTGTGTTTAAGTATAAGTATAACCATAAGCATATCTTGAATTGGTTAAGAAACAGACCAGGGTGGAAAGAGATAATTCGTCCGGCAGAGACTCGTTTTGCTACAAATTTTATAGCTTTGCAGAGTTTGCTTAGTCATAAGGATTATTTGCAAAGTATGGTGGTTGATGAGGAGTTCAGAAAGATATCGAGATCAGAGAAAACAAAGCTTGTGAAACAACTTATTTTTGATGAAGAATTTTGGAATGGGTGTTTTATGATTGTGCAGATTATGACTCCTTTGATCCGTTTGCTGCGTATTTGTGATGCTGATGAGAAACCATCTTTGCCTTATGTATATGAAGGGATGTATAGGGCACGGTTAGGTATCAAGAAGATATTCGATAAAGATAAAGATCTTTACAGGCTTTATACGAAGATCATTGACAATCGGTGGGATAAGATGTTGCGTCGTGATATTTATGCTGCAGCTTATTTTCTGAATCCAGCTTTCTTATACGATAAAAAGAATTTTTCTGACAAGCCTGAGATTACAAGGGGAATGCTAAATTTGATTGAAAAGCAGAATGGTGGTTTAAGTGAAACAAAACTAGTTTCCACTGTTGGCCGCTACAGAGATCGAGAAGGAAGTTTTTCTCGGGAGATGGCACTTAATTGTAGAAAAACTACTCGACCAGGTTAGTGATCTTATGGTATGTTCATATATTTTTTTCTTTTACGATATTAAATTATATGGAATATTTTTTCTTGTTGTATTTGTAGATGAATGGTGGAAATTATTTGGTTGTGATATTCCTGATTTGCAAAAGCTTGCAATCCGAATTCTTAGTCAAACAGCTACTTCATCTGGATGTGAGAGGAATTGGAGTGTGTTTGAACGCATTCACACCAAAAAGAGAAATAGACCGGAGCATCAAAGGCTCAATGATCTTGTCTATGTTCATTATAATTTACGTCTACAAAACAGGTTCGTTATATGTAGAGTGTGATAGATTTCTTTTTGTTATTAACCTGCATATTTATTAATTCCTAGTTTGTTGTTTTTATGTGTAGATCAAAGAGAAGTAGATCATATGATCCAGTTGATTACGAGTCCATCGATAAAACTGAGTTTTGGATTGTGGAAGAAGAAGAAGAAGGGGAGCTTGATTTTTCTGAGCTACAAGATAAACTACTTGAAGAATATCCTAAAGATGGTGAAAATTTTATTTTTTAATTATTATTTTTTCATTCTATAATTTAAATTTTAAAACATTTCAGTAATATGTATTTTGTTTTTATGTTTGTTCAAAGTACTCAAGATTTGGAAAAGGAAGATTGACCGTACTAAACTATTTTATTTTAGTGTTGTTTTTTATTTAGACTATTCAAGTTTTTTTAATTTGTTGCTAATGCTACTTTATTTTATTTTAGTGTTAATTTGGATTTAAATTATGAATTTTGTTCCAAACAATATAATTAATTGACGAATTTTATTTTGATTAAGTTTGTAAAATATTATCAAACCCGGTTGAACCCACTTGAACCCAATAGAACCTTATTAACCCATGACCCAAAAATTTTCCACTCCTTCCACTGCAAGTCATCATCAGAGAATAAAAAATCATTATCTTCAGGAGATGATTCCCCATCCATAATTCCAGTTAGCCATTCATTGCTCTCATCGATGTCTTTCAACAAAATGGGATCAAAGGAATCACGTTTCTGAGCACGACGTTGCAGTGCACGATTGTACTTCACATAAACCATGTCATTCAACTGATTTTGAGTTAAACGGTTTCTTCTCTTTGTGTGAAGCTGCTGGAAAACACTACAATTTCTCTCGCAACCTGCTGCACTACAAGTGAGACTCAGAATTTTGACAGCAAAATCTCTGAGATTTGGAGCAGATGAGCCGTAACAAGACCACCATTCAGCTGGTGCCTTCTCCTCTCTTTGTCTTACGGCCAAGTTATGACCAAAGACCCCTGATGCATTTTTGAAAAGATCTAACTCATTCATTATCAAGCTCTGAATATTAGCTTCAGGAACCAGTCTCTCAATGCAATCTAACAAACCTTTCTCAATTTCTTCACAACGAACATCTTCCGGATATTTGTAGTGAATTGCCGGATTTAAAAAGTAACCAGCAGCATGTAAAGGATGGTGAAGCTGACATTCCCATCTATTGTCAATGATCTCAAATGCTGCCTTATATTTCTCTTCTTTGTAGTTAAAACTCTGAGAAATTGCTTCCTTAGCCCGATCCATTGCTGCATAAATGTAACCCATCGCAGGTTTTTTTTCACCATCGACCATTCGTAGTACTTTAACTAGTGGACTCGCCAACTTCAAAGCTTTCAAAACGTTTTCCCAAAAACTTTCTTGAAGCAAATACTGCTTCACTTTCCTTGCTCCACATTCTTTGGGCCACTTAGACTCATCAAATTCGCTTGATGTAATCAGCTCCCTCAGGTTTTTTTTTCTGCTTGTGAAATTGAGACATGGTTATGAAAGACGTCGCAAATCTTGTAATGGCAGGTCTGTGCAGATTCCTATTACCAGTGTATCTTCTCATCATGTTCACGAGAGGAACACAGCCGTAGATATAACTGTTCATGAAGATACATTTTTTCATTGCTGTTTTCACTGAAGGGATTGATCCAATGTCTTCAAGCATAAGATCAATGCAGTGAGCAGCGCATGTAGTCCAGTACAGATGATTTCTCTCCGCCATAAGAAGTTTTCCAGCCTTTACGTAGTTTGATGCATTATCGGCTACCACCTGCACCACGTTCTGCTCTCCTATCTGCTCCACCATATTATCAAGCATCTGAAACAGCAATGTAGAATCCTTCAAAACCTCAGAAACATCGACAGACTTGAGAAAAACAGATCCCTTTGGCGAGTTAACTAAGAAGTTGACAATGTCTTTCTTAGAAACAGGATCACGCCACCCATCTGACATCAATGAACAACCCTTTTCTGACCACTCTTTTTTGTTCTCTTCAATCTTAGCTCCCACGTTTTCCATCTCTTTTTTCAGCAGAGGTTCTCGCAGCTCCCACATGGTTGGAGGTTTCAAACCAGCTCCATATAGACCAATCAATTCTACTGCCTCCTTGAAGCTTTGGTAAGTAACAGCATTGAAAGGAATACCTGCATCATAGAACCATCGAGCTATACCAAGACAGACTTTCAACCTTTGCTCTTTATCACAAGCTCCAAATATTCCTTTTCTGTCCTTGCGAGCTTGCAGAATATCTGGTGGAGGAACTGTCACATACTTGTCCAATGGTCCTCTGACCTTCCGTTTTTTATGTTGGACTGCTCTGACTGATGGATACTCTGCATCTTCTTCATCAAACTCATCACCAACCTCAGCTTGATAAGCAAGACTACTTGCTACCTTTTCCTCAGCCTTTTTGATCATGTATAGCTGCAATTCTTTCACAACATAATCTGGAACCATCATACACTTTTTTGCATTCCTAAAGCCTCCAACTAAATGCTGCTTCAGCCGAGAAATACCTACGTTAGTAACAGTGAGACAAAAAATACATTTCCAAACGTTGCTGTTTTTCCAGAACATGTTCCATACTTTCTCCCTGGATCCAACCTTCGACCAGACGTGTTTTTGTTCTCTTCATCATCAGCCATTATGAAACTACAACAAATAGCCAGCAGACATGGATTGTGTTAAGAAAAAATTTGTATTCATCAGAATATATAAAACCAAAAACGTTAAACAAGCATGTGTACTAGAGATCAGAGTTATATGAAGAGAATAAGAGATGAATGAAACATACCTCTTCTCAGCAAGTTGGCGACACTGGGAGGAGAAGTCATCGTAAGTTTTTATTTCAGAGATGATTCCGTGATCTTTGCATATCATGGATACACTTAGAATTAATCAGTAACCGCTAAAAAAAACACTAATGGTTACTGAAAAAAACACTAATGGTTACTAAAAAAACACTAATTACAGAAAATCTTGTTTTCAATCGCCATGGGCTTTTAGCGCTTTGGCCTTGGAGATAAAAAGCCCAAATAGCGCTCGCCTAATAATTCTGCAACGCTTTTTTCTTTTGAGGTGAGACTCTCTTCGCCTTGCGCCATATGAGCCATGGCGCACAGAAAAGCGCGCTATTTTAAACACAGGACTGCGACAGCGAAGGGAAAGCTGGACGAGGCGATGGTCAGGGTGAAGAGGCTAGAAGAGGAAAAGATAGCTCTTCGTGCTGATGTCGACAAGGTGTCCTCCACAGTCACTCGCCTCAAGGAGGCCAGGAGAGCAAAAAGCGGCAAGGTGGCGTATCGAGACCAAGGATGCCTTATTCGATGCCAAGGTCAAGAGTGCGAAGAAAGAGGCGGGGCGTGAATTGACAGCCAAATTTCAGGAACGCCTTGCCAAGGTGGAGGAAGGTCTTGCCAAGCTTGAGAAAGCCAAGAGCGACGAGAATGAGCTAGGGCAGCTCAAGGACAACCTTGCTATGATCGACGAGCTGCGGAAGCCGGACGGCACGACTCTAGTTGCCGAAGAGGCAAAGTTAAAGAGTTGGAAGAGCGAATACGTCGATGATGAGGCGTATGAGCGCATCCGAGATCCGAGGTGGGCTAGTCTTTTCGCCTGTGTCGCAAGACTCCGTGGATACCTGCTTGGGCAACGAGCCGATCGAGGAGACAGCGGCTTATCTGGGTGTCGGAGATACGACCGGATCGAACGCGGGTACGCCGGCTCTTTTGAACCTCCTTGCCAAGCAAGACACACAGTCTGCAGCTTGACTCTTCCCCTCTCTCCCTTGTCTTTTACATTATCCTTCTTGTACTAAGTGCTTGGATGGCTTTATCCACTTTTCGAACTCTTATGTATTTTTTGTGATTGATGTCTGGATGGCTTTATCCACTTGACTGTTGATCTTACTGGTAGATTTATTTGGTAGTAATTATATCTATCTCTTTTTAGAAACGTTGGTTTTGCCTGGTTTTATTCATTCTCAACTTTTCGAGGAAAACTCTTGTTGGATCGAGCTGTTCCTAAATGGTTTGTCGAGCCAAGTCAAGGGTGCTTTTGTTTTCTTTCCTGGCCGAGCTGTTAAGAAAGATTGATAGATTGCCGGAATAAATGATAGACTATTTTGGTTTTCTGGGTATATAATAAACCCCGTTTAAGTTAAAAGATCCCGAGTTGGGAGGTATGTCTTTGTTTAGACAATTTTTGCAAAGCGAATTGACGTCCTTCTATGCCTTTGACTGTTAGTGCCAAGGCGTTGCGTTAGAAAGGAGAAAGTGTGTAACGAGGCATTTTAACTCGGGTTTAGTTTTGGCTTCCTGAGACGCTAAATTTGGATTTCTCGTTGCCGAGGTTCACGTCCGAGTAGACGGTATCAGAGTTCTATAGACCGGCTTTCCCGAGAGGGTGAATGCGTTTGCCGGGTTTAAGAGTTCGCTTTGATTTTAGAGAAAGCGATGTAGTCTCGACTTATAATCTTGTGTGCGATGGCGAACCGTGGCGACCGATAAGTTTTTGGTCTGAAATTTGTATAGCGCGCTTGATTTTAATCCATAGAGGATGTGACTTGCACCCTCGTCCAAGGAAAGGTGGTAAAAATTCCATTTAGAGAACTTTGTGATTGTTGTCTCGTTGTGGCCAGCAACGAGACGAGGTGTTCGAAGCATGAAACGTTTTGCCGAAGCAAAATGCAAAGACATGTAAAAGTCTAGGCGAAGTGAAAACGAATGGTTAAGTGAATGAAAATGAGTTTCTCAAAAATTCCAAAGTGACAGTAAGCCAATGAAAAATCTTGCCGAAGAGAAAATTAGTGAAAGTAAAACTAGAACAAGTGAATGAAAAAAACTAGCTGAAGTGAAGATAATCTTAGAAACAGAAGACTTGCCGAGCTAAAAATCTTAAAAATGATGTAAGTATAAGTGTATACGTACCCACTCCACCCCCCTTTTTTAGGAGGGGCGACAGCTGAACCCGTCCGAGGACGGGCTGCCTACGTACCCTTTGCAGGGATCAAGCCGTCCCGTAGTATATGTTGATCATGTTGTAGTCTTAGTGATAATACTTCTTTAGGTGCATTGCGTTCCACGATCTGGGAATTGTTTGTCAGCTACCGTCACAAATTCGTAAACTCTTGGGCGAACTACTTTTGTAATTTTGTAGGGGCCTTCCCAATTTGCTCCGAGCTTTCCTGCATTCCTCTCTGTAGTGTTTTGAAAGACTTTTCGAAGGACGAGCTCTCCTTCTTTAAATCTTCGGCTTCAGACATTTTTGTTGTAGTATCTTGCTGTTGCTTGTTGGCAGTTCTGGATTCGGATTAGACCCTGGTCGCG